CATGTAGCTTGGTGGACTCCTTCTCCTGGGGGTCATCATATTGGTGCCAGGCTTAGTGCAGACACCTGGTTGGCCTAGCCCACTGCAGTTTAGAACTTTGGAGCTAAAATGATCCATCATCCTCAGCCTTCCTTAGTAGTAGGGATTATAGACGTGCACCACTACTATAGGAGAATTGCCTTTTTTTCCTTTTTAATAAATTTTTATTGCTATTTTCTGTTTCTTATGTCACTAGTTTATCCCATGTATCCCTGCCAGAGAGTTTTCCCAAATGACAGATTATATTTTTAGAGAAGAAAAAGAGGAGGGGAAAGCCAGCACAACTGATTGATACATTGATGAAAGTGTCCAGTGTATAACACCTGTGGACCTCCCACCTCCACAAGGGGCAGGTTGGGGAATGTCTTCTCATATCTCTTCATTTGAGTCCCACTTGACCTTCATAATTTTGTTACATTTATTTTTTATTTTTTGGTGTGGCGTCCTTTCCATTTACATTGTTGTAGTTATTATGTACGTTGTTTTTCTTGGTTCTACTTACTTCATTCTGTATCGGGTCAGATAGATCTTTCCGTGTTTCTCTGTATTCACCACACACATCATTTCTTACAGTACAGTAATATCCTATTACCTTCACGTACCACAATTTGTGTCACCAACCCCCAATCGATGGGCATCTACTTTGTTTCCAATTTTTAGCTTTCACAAAAATGCTGCTATAAATGTTTTGGAGTATATGGGGGCTTTTTTCTTATCAATCACTTCCTTAGACTATAAGCTCAGTAATGGAGTCTCTGGGTCAAAGGGTTTAGACATTTAAGTCACTTTGTATAATTCCAAATTGCTTTCCAAAATGGTTATACCATTTCATAGTTCCACAAATAATATATCATCATGCCTACCCTTCCACACCTCTCCAACATCAGGTGTTGCCATTTTTTGTCTTCTTTGCTAATTTTCAGGATGTAAGGTGAAGCCTGTGGTTGTTTTGATTTGCATTTCTCTTATTAGTGATTTGGAGTGGTTTTTTTCCCCCCAAGTGGTTGTGAATACTTTGCAATTATTCTTTTGAGTAATGTTTGTTCATATTCTTTGACTGCTTATCTATTGGGGATTGGCTATTAGTCACAGATAAACAGATAACTGTGTATACACACATATACATATATATGTACATATAGTTTATATATCTTGGATAGCAAGCCATTATCAAAGAAATTTGATATAAAGATTTTTCCTCCTTTGACTACTTCTTTTCTTATCCTATCAGTAGAGTTTTCAATAAAAAAATGATTTTCCTTTTCCCTAGAGGCAGAATCAGGGACCTGCTTCCTAAGTAGACTAATGAGTCCATTAGCTAATTTATGATTGATAGGAATGTTGTTCTAGAATGTTGGAATCTCAGAGCAGGGAAGGCCCTCATGGACCATCTTGTCCAACTCCTATGGTATTATTTATAAGTGGTCATCCAGGCTTGCAGTGAGAGGGACAAGAGTCAGCAGGGATAGTTGTGAGGTTTACTTTAAGAACGGTAGAGACTTAGGTATGTCTATAGGTATCAGGGAAGGAGGTAGCAACCAGGGAGAGATAGAAGAGCAGAGTGAATGATAATGGAAGGCAAACGGTTCAAAAAGACAAAAGGGGATGGAATCAAGAGTATAACTAGAAGTTTGACCTAGTTATATATATAGTTACATATATAGTTATATATATATATAATATATATATATATATCTAGTCATATATACCTAGTTTTATATATATAGTCTAGAAAGACCACTTCTTCATTGATTACAGGAGTCAGCCATTGTGGAGAGTTAGAAAATCCATTTGGGAGGAGCAGAATGATTGCTTTGTTGTAATGAGGGCTCAGGTGAGATCAGACAACATATTGAACCCATTGGACCTAGTTCAGTATTGGACCTAGTCAGCAAGGTTACACGACCTCCTCTAGGTCTGTTCAGCAGTGTGGGAGTAGGAGAGAATGAGACATCTTGAGGGAGTAATTCAGGGCTGGAACTTGGCAATGACTGGTCATCGGACAAGAGACACATTGGCTATGTGACCCTGAGTAAGTCCCTTAATCTCCCAGTACTCCATCTCTCAGCTTCAGGCATTTTCTATGACTGTCTCCAAGTCTGGTTTCTTAACTCTACCGATTTCCCTGGCTTCCTTTAAGTCCCAACTAAAATGCCATTTTCTACAGGGAGCCTTCTCCAACCCCTACCAATTCCAGTGCCTTCCTTCTTTGAATTATTTCCTATATATTCTGTATATAGCTCACTTAGTATTCTATTTGTTTGCACACTGTTTCCCCCATTAGGTTATAAGCTCCTTGAGGACGGGGACTATCTTTTGTCTCTGTTTGTATCACCAGTGTTTAGCACAGTGCCTGGCACATAGTAGATGCTCAATAAATGTTGATTGATTGATTGCTCCAGGTAACTCTCTAAGACTATTGGTTGCTAACTAAGTTGTGATATATCTCTATAGCAATGATTCTCTACATCATTGATACAGGTCCTTATGTTAATGAATCTGTGGTTCAGTCAAAAAAAAAAGTAGCTCAGAAATGTCAGTCATTATTATTATTTTCCAGGGCCTCATTTAGAATTTTTCTGAGCTGTCCACCCACATTGTGTGACCATGAGGAAGCCATTTAACCTCTGTGAGCTTCAGTTTCCTTATCTTTAAAATGAGGATAATAATACAATACCAATCCCATGTGTTTGTTATGGGGGGGGGATTTATTTGCAAACCATCAAGTACTCCAGAAATGGGAGTTGTTATAGTTATTATTTTTACAAGCAGTATGTTCCCCGCAGCGGGAGGAGCTTGCTGAACTTCCAACATCCTTGGAGGTCCTAGGAGTACGAGACTCTCTCTCTACGACACCTCCGCCATCAAGAAGGAAGAGAACTAGGGGGTGAAGCTGGCTCAGTGGACACAGGGGATTTTGAAATGGAGGTCAAAGATGGGACATCTCTTCGGGCAGAGGCAACATGGCTTGTATGGGAAGAATTGAGGCTTGGAGTTCTTAAGTCTCCTCCATTTTCTTCGGCCAGCACCAGGCTGTCCAGCTCTGGACAAGGGTTCTTTTTTGTCCCTCTGCGTAGCCTAACCAGGGAGAAAGGATGAGAAGGAAGAGGAGAGGAGACAAGAGGAGAAGAAAGGAGAGAAGGGAAGAAACCATCAGTGGTTCCCCTTTTCTCTTTAGCCTGGTATTCAAGGCCTCCCCCAAATCTGGCACCACCCTGCCCTTCCCATCTTAGATCACAGGCCTCCACAAAGAACCTCAGGGGAGAAAGGACAGTTTGGGGCATAGGACTTTGCATACAGCAGGGACTTGAACACATATTTCTTGAAAGGACCCAAGGTTGAATCCTGGCTTTGTCACTTACCACCTGTGTGAATTTAGGCAGATTCCTTAACTTCACTGAATCTCAGTTTCCTCAATTGTAAAATGTGATGGTGGATCTTGTGGGGCTCAAAATCCCCTTTGAGTTCTAGAGTCATGATCTTATGAATTGTGTTGAGAGGCTTCATCTCATCAAAGTTTGAGATAAAGCACAGAAATCAGAGACTGGAGGCCTCTTCTAGAATGCTCATTGGAAAAGTATTATTTGGCTCCTGCCCATAGCATCAGCCCCAATCACGGCTTGCAGCCTGAGCGTGGCTCTCTGCGGCCCCACTTCATGTGGTGGCCTCTTGGGGAAGGGCCAGACCCCCTCTCCTGCCCTCAGCTGTCAGCTCCGCAGCCAACAAGAGAAGGCAGAGCAAACCCACAGCCCCTGGCAATGATTCTTCCATCAAGAGCCAATGAACCCCTCATGTGGCTGGGCCCAAGACTTGGGGGAGACGCAGAAGTTTTGGACATCAAAGGCTGGCCATGCGTGGGGCCTACTTCAATCTATTCTGAAGACAGTGATTGGGGGTTTTCAGTTCAGGGCAGAGAATCTTGAGTCACTCTGGCTCATGACTTTCCAAGTTGGCTTTGAGGGTCTTCACAGGTCCCAAAAACCCTTGAAGAATCTTTCACCCAGAGTCTTCACTCAGAATTTTAAAATGGAACAACTGAATGAGAAAAGAGCTAATCCCTGCCCACAGGGAGCTCACGGTGTGGAGGAGTCAGAGCAGGGTTCTGTTTTGGGAGTTGCAAGTCTGGGGGAGGTCAAAGAGAAACAGATGTTGGTGCTTTCCCTGAAGCATTCAAGGTCCGGTTACGGAGATTGGACTCATATGTGCGAACTAGTTAAATGACAATATCCTGATTATCATAAAGAGAGGGAGAGGAAGAGATAACTGAAGTCATAGAAGGATGAGGTTGGTGTCTTTCCTCAGAAAGATTCTGGGGCAGATAATTGAAGAGATGGTTCCTAATGGAATCATTAGGAGGCAGCATGGGAACCACTCAAAACAAGTCCTGCCAATCTAACTGCTTACAAATGATATCTTAGGACAGATTCCTGCAATGGACTGAAGACTGGACTGATGGCTTCTAAGGTCCCTTCCAATCCTGAGGTTCCAGTATTCCTAGATTTCCTAGATGATATCTCCCCCTCCCCCAGTGGATCATTTATTGTTGAGTTATTTCAGTTGTGTCTGACTCTTCATGACCCCATTTGGGGTTTTCTTGGCAGAGATACTAGAGCAGTTTGCCATTTCCTTCTCCAGCTCATTTTACAGATGAGGAAACTGAGGTGAACAGGGTCATGTGACTTGCCCAGCTAGTAAGTTTTTGAGGCTGGATTTGAACTCAAGAAGATGTGTCTTCCTAAATACCAGCCCAGTGCTCTATCCACTGCACCATTTAGCTGCCCGCTGTGGGGCATACTCAACCACTATTTCTGATTCCAGGTAACCACGTGGAAGCTTGAGAGAGAGTAGGGGGAGTACTTCATCTGGCTAGGTATGACTCAGAGCTTAAGGGCTGGCACCCTGGGATGACAGAGTCCTTTAATTGCCTGTGGATCTGGAAAGGTGGGTGACTCAGAGGATATACAAAACTATCTCCTGCCCCATTCTCTACCTCGTTTTCTAGTTGCCCTCTTGGCTGTGACTCTGCAGATGTCATGATGTGACACCAGTGAGGGGTACCGTGGTGACTCTTCCTTACGTGGACAGTGGCTATAAGTAGGTGGGTTTGCACTGGGGCTCTGGGCTACCTTTTCTTTATGTTTGCTCTTTCCTGATCTTGGGCAGACAAGTACCCTGCAATGTATAGAATCGGAAATGACCTTGTGAGTTGGAAATATCTGAAGTCCTGGGTTCCTGACAGCAGGAGTAGCTTTTGAATCATTGAGGATGGTCACTGGAAAGAAGAGCCGCCCAAGCTTGGATTATTATTTTGTTTGTTTGTTTTTTGTTTGTTTGTTTGTTTTTACCAGCACATATATACTAGGAGCTGTTTGGACAGTGTCCAAATGAGGGGAGATGTAAAATGCCTACTTAGCAGTTCTATGTACTGCTCTGTGTTCTGATGGGGGTTAAATATTAGAATTCCAGCACATTATATCTGTGATTATAAACTGTTACTCAATACTACTAATCCTGCTAATTCTGTTAGAGAACTCTGTATTTCCTTATATGTAGCAATCCTTGTTGTGTATAGAAATAAAATACTTGCACCGTACCCAATTCATATTGTTCATTGGGTACCTTTGTTACCATTCCCTCCAACACCCACCTTTTGGGGTGACCTTAGGAAAAGTAAAAATGGTTCCTTCAGAGGCCAGGGTGGTTGAGTTGGTGAGTCAATGAATGAGAGAAAAGGGAGCCCCTCTCTCAATAAAGGTAAGATTCTCCAAGACTGATCTCCATCTAAACTGCTTGTCAGGGTGGGGGGCAGCTAGGTGGTGCAGTGGATAGAGTGCCGACGTTGGAGTCAGGGGGACCTGAGTTCAAATCGGGCCTTAGACCCTTGACACTAGCTGTATGATCCCGGGCAAGTCACTTAACCCCAGTGCCTAGCTGAACAAAACAAAACAGAACAAAACTGCATTTCTGGGTACAGGGAGGGGAAGAGGAAGTGGCCCCGGCCCCTGTGGACTCAGCCAAGGTGTTTCTCAATGCTAGAACTGAGTCATAGATTTAGAGTTGGAAGACTATCTTGTCTAACCTCCTCACCTTACAGATGAAGAAACTGAGAACATGGGAGGTCAAGTTACTTACCCATGTCACATGGGTAGTAAATGTCAGAGACAGGATTGGAACCCAGGTCCTCTGGCTACAGAACTTTGTACTGTGAATATAAGTTCCCCGAGGGCAGGGAACATTTCATTGTTTTTTTTTTTCTGTCACTTGTGACTTGTATCTATTAAGCGTTGGCTGAGTCAAATAAGAACAATAAACTATCTAATATCTTGAATTCAAAAGACAGTGAGGGAGGTAGAGATAGGGGTTAGAAATTAGTGCAGAAGGGAGCCATGAAGGGCGCTTTGGAGAGAGTTCTTGTGGATTTCCATTCCTTTTGAATACCTCTACCATGTACAGGTGGGGAGGTGGTACAGTAGATAGAATATTGGGCTTGGAGTCAGGAAAACCTGAGTTCAAATCTGGCTTCAGACACTTACTAGCTGTGTGGTTCCGGGCAAGTCAAATTTAATCTCTGTCTGCCTCAGTTTCCTCATCTGTAAATGAGGGAATGGTAATAGTATCTCACCTCATAGGGTTGTGAGAATCAAATGAGTTAACACATGTAAAGTGGTTTGCAAACTGTAAAGCTGCTATATAAATGCTAGCGATTTTTAGCTTTGTCTTAAGGCAGGGATTCTTGGGTCGATGGACAGATGTCAGATCTTTATTATATGATTGGTTTCCTTTGTAATCCTGGATTTCTATTCCTTTGGGATACCTCTACCATGTACTGGCTGTGTGACCTTGGACATGTCATGCTATCTCTCTGAGCCTCAGTTTCCTTCTCTGTGTTGTTGTTCAATTGTGTCTAACTCTTTGTGACTCACTTTGGGGTTTTCTTGGCAGAGATACTGGCATGGTTTGCCATTTTCTTCTCTAGCTCATTTTACAGATGAGGAACTAAGGCAACAAGGTTAAGTGACTTGCCCAGGGTCATGCCTGAGGTTGGTTTTGAACTGAGGAAGATGAATCTTCCTGACCCTAGGCCCAGCCCTCTATCCACTGTACCACCTAGCTGCCCTTTCCTTCTCTATAAAGTGGGGCTAATACTCCTAGGATTACCTTTCTTATAAGAATTTTGTAAGGATCAAATGAAATAGTACATGTAAGGTACTTTGTAAACCATAAAATATAATAACCAATAATAATAATACTAATAATAGCTGGAATTCACATACCACTTTAAGGTTTGTGAAGCCCTTTACGTGCCTTGTTTCTTTTCTTTTCTTTTCTTTTTTTTTTTTTTAGGCAATTGGGTTTAAGTGATTTACCCAGGGTCACACAGCTAGTAAGTGTCAAGTGTTTGGTCTGAGGCAGGATTTGAACTCAAGTGCCCCTGACTTCAGGGCAAGTGCGCTATCCACTGTGCCACCTAGCTGCCCCCCTACATGCCTTATTTCAATGATCCTCACAATAACCAAATTGTGTAAATGCCTTTATTGTCCCCATTTTGGAGATGAGGAATCTGGGCTTTGAGAGAGAGTGTAAACACACCCAGGGTCAGATACGCTCCTGTTATAGTATCATATTCATCTTTACATATGCCACAATATTAGCTGTTATTATAGCTATAACTCACTATATAAGGCAGTCTATGATAAATAACAAGTTAATTTGGTGGAGTAGGAAAAAGCCGTTGACAGGGAGTTAGGAGCTTTGTGTCCCAGCTCTGCAACTAAACAGAGGTGTGAAAATTAGGTAATCACTTTCCCTCTCTGGGCTCGGTTTCCCCATCTATAAAATAAGATGTGCAAAATTGCAAGATATGGACTAGACAATAATATACCACTACTAGGTGACACAGTGGGCCTGGAATTGGGAAGGCCTGAGTTCAAATCTAGCCTCAGATACTTCCTAGCTGTGACTCCCTAGGCAAGTCGCTTGACCTCTATTTCCCTTACTTTCCTCATCTGTAAACTGGGAATAATAATAGACCCTGCCTCTGAAGGTTGTTGCAAGGATCAAATAAGATATTTGTAAAGTGTTTTAAAAGTCTTGAAATACAATATAAATGCTAGATATTATTATTATTATTATTATTAGTAGTAGTAGTAGTAGTAGTAGTAGTAGTAGTAGTAGTGGTGGTGGTAGTAGTAGAAGTAGTACTAGTAGTAGTTGTAGAAGTGTATAGGGAGTTAAGGGAAGACTAGCATCTCTGGAGTGAGGGCTTACCAAACCCTGTTTAGGGCTACTTGTCCACCTTTAGTGTTCATTCACCTGTCACCCAACTCTCATCTGTGGTTCCAAGAAGCTATAGTATGCACAGAGACCATACCCTGGGAAAACCATCTCAACAGACAGGGTTAAACCAGGTTGAGGGTAACTGACAGGCCCCAGACCCAATGGTGAGTTAGGGAGATGTCTAACCCAAGTATGTGAAGACTTCCCCTTGTGGACTAGGCAGATGAGAACAATTTGTACCAGTGGCCATGAAGGCAGCTGAAGTAGGTGCTATGGAGTGCTTAGAGCTAGCTCAGACATTGAAGACTCCAAGGTCATCCATTGTATCCCAGGCCATCCCCAGTCATCTTGACTTTTGTCTTGTCACCAGACTTTGAAGACTCTGGAAGAGATAGTGAGACTGTTGAATTTGCACAAGTCTGCTTCACTTATATCCAACTCACAGGCAAGTCAAGACATCAGCTGTGATATCATTGGTCATCTTAAAAAATGAAGGACAAACAACAAGTAGAAGTAGTGGTAGCAGTGGTAGTAATGGTAGTAATGGTAGTAGTAGCAGTAGTAGTAGCAGTAGCAGCAGCAGCAATAGTAGTAGTAGTAGTAGTAGTAGTAGAAGAAGTAGTAGTGGTGGTGGTGGTGAAAGGACTGTAATCATTACCCCACTGAGTTCAGTCTGGATGGAGGCCTCCCGGAGCATGCAGGGATCTGGTGGTGGTGGTGATTTCAGTGCCATTTAGTTTTATTATCAAGGTCTTTGATGAAGGCTTATGTAGCATGCTCATCAAGTTTACAAATGATCCACAAACAGGAGGGATAGCAGCTTAAGGTTAGAATGATGATTCAAAACTACTAATGAAATTTAATAGGGAAAAATATTAAGTCCTATATACATGCACAAAAATATCAACTTCCCAGGTAAAAGATGGGGAGGCTCGGCTAGACGATAGTTCTTGCGGAATAAAAAGAAAGGAGAGATCAGAGGGTTTCAATGCAGTGTGACCCAACAGCCAAGAAAGGTGGTGTGGTCTTTTCTTGCATTAGGAATGAGGGCTGCTGTGGTTCGGATGCCCTCTGTGTCTTCGAGGCCACACCTAGAGCAGAGTGTTCTATCCTTAGTGCTATGGCTATCAGGGTAGCATCAACGTTAGCCAGCACTTAGTGCAGTGCCCAGCATGCTGGGAGCCCTTAAAAATTACTCGTTGACTGGTCTTGCCTTCAGGAAGCATAAAATCTAGTAGGGAAAATCAGAAGTACATGTGCATGTGCACACCCACACCCACGCACACACACAACTATGACACAAGGGAGAAATTTTAGGTGGGGAGAGGTCACTTTTGGCACCTAGCCACTATAGTTCTTGACACAGATTGGGCTTTTAAGAAGTGCTTTTTGATGAACTGATTTCACCTGGTCAGGGGAGGGAAGACCTTAAGTACTTAGAGGCAGTGCTGGGACAATAATAATAACAATAATTCAACAACAATAATAATTCACATAGGGATTTTAAGGTTTGCAAAGTGCTTTACATACATTAACTTATTTAATTCCACAACAACCCTCAAAGCAGGTGCAATTATTACTTTCCATTTTACAGATGAGGAAACAGGCTAGGCGAGGGTGACCCACATCCAGAGTCAAATGGTCTCCTGGTGTAGCATCGTGTTCATCTTTATGTATTCCACTGTTACCTTCCCCCACGGATCTTTTACTGTCCCCTTCAGAGACGACTCGTAGGCAGGAGGGGTTGAGGGAACTCCAAAAGGGCAAAAATGAAAGGTGAATGATTCTTAGTTCCCCAAATGAAGCTATTGTTTCTCTGGT